TTATTTTTTATTTCTGACTTACGGCAGCCGGCGGCTCCGATGTCAGGAGAAAAAAAAAACAGAGCAGAGAAAGGTTTACTGTGCTCGTTCGAGCAGAGCAAACCTTTCCAGGAGAAAGTGTTTTGTCTCCCGGGCTTGTTGACACCAAATGCAGACCAGATCTGCATGAGTTTCTGCACACGCAGTGCAGTGGTGTGTGCCGCGTTTTTTTCCGCGTTCCGGGACGTTTTTGGTTACAAAAAAACAAAACAAGTTTAAAATGGGCTTTCAGTGTTCCAGGGCGTTTGCATGCGCTTTTGATGAGTTTGCATGCGTTCCAGAGCAGGTAAAATAGGGCTTGCTGCAGTTTTTTTACATGCTCTGGAACTGAATGCTGCGGTGTGAACTAGAGCCCAAAATACCATTGGTATACATTGGACGCAGTTTTGATCCGGTCTGTAACTGCTCTGCTCTGCTCCTGGAACCCGCTTGGTGTGAACAAGGCCTAAATGCCTCCCTCAAGAACACAGATAAGTTGTATTTATGCAATTCTGGTTTCACATAAATGTATCTAATTTTCAGAGAGCAGTACAACAAATGTTATAATCACGCAGAAAAGGACGATAATGATCTGAATTCCACCGACAAAGCCACATCCCAACTACACTGTAATAATATATGAGTGTCTCCCTCTGGACACAGTGACACATTTAAGAGCCAGGAAAGAAGGAAGGAAACGATTGTAGATTAGAGTCACACTTGCCCATACAGCGGAGTTACCCTTTCATTTCTGACTTATAAGTCCTTTCTTGACCTCCAGACATTGCAAAAGTGTTCAAGGTCACGGGAAAGAAGTGTTTCCATACAAAGAGCCCACACCTCGCATTGCTATTATCCCTGAACAAATGCTTCATTCACATGGGCATTAAATTCATTGCTTGCTTCATGGAGACCGATCCTCCTACCATTGACATATGGAGACAGGTCCTCATGACACTGCTATACAGAGACAGGTCATCATGATAAGCTATATAAAAACAGCTTAAAACTGTAAAGGTGAAGTAACTTATCAGAAACATTTAAAAGGAAACCTTCACTACTACTCCATCAGGGCAGGAGGAAGAGAGTTAATTGCTGTCAAGTTTATATTTAACAGAACATTTTTTTTATATTTAACAGACTCTACTGGGAACATTTTTCCTGAATTCCTATCTCTGACACAAATGCAAGGAATCAGGGATGCAGATGTCACGGGGACAAAATGTCATGGACAATAATACACAAGCCCAAACAAATACAATAAAAACATTGTCAGAAATTTTAACCCTTCTCTACCCTAGAATGTTTTTATTTGTCCCTGTTGGGAGAAATGTCCAATCACGTCCTGTCATGACAAGACGTGAGGGAAAATCTTACTAATATGAACAAAGATGCCAATAAAAACCAGGCAGAGGCCCTAGCGCTTCTCCATGCTATCTACAACTAAATAAAAAGTTTCAGTTGGCAATGGGCTTATAAAAGATTTATTGATCTCTGAGGCAACAAAAGTCAGAGGTGACGACAAATGTGACCTTGGAAGGGGAGGGGCGGGGTATTGCATAACTGAAATTCAGCCCTGCACAGTAGTGGAAATACACTCACCGTCCACTTTATTAGGCATACCTGTTCAACTGCTCGTTATTGCAAATATCTTATCATCCAATCACTTGGCAACAACTCAATGCATTTAGGCATGTAGACATGGTCAAGATTATCTGTGGAGGTTCAAAACGAGCATCAGAACAGGGAAAAAAGGTGATTTAAAGTGATATTAAACTAAGGTCTGTGCGTCTCCACAAACACACAGACACAGCTAGGCAAGCCACTCCCTTCCTCCCTGTCCCCTTTCCAGGCTAGTAGATGAATAGCTGCTGGAGACTGCTCTGTCCCTTGTGATCTTGTACTTATCAGGAAGTTCAGGGAGGCCAAACTGAGAAAGTTGGAGCCAGCTGTTCAGAAACATGATGCTTATAAGTGATTGGGCAAGAATGTAAAGAAATACTTTGCTGAGTAATGTATATTTGTTGGATATCAGGGGTGTGGACATTTTTGAAAAAACTACTTGTCCAAGCACTAAAGCGGGGGCCGAATCTACTTGTCCCTCATGACAATCTACTTGTCCTGATACAAAAAGAAATTATTTTAACCAAAACCGTATTTAGCGGTGCTAAGAAGCGCTTCTCATTGGTCAATGCTGTCAGGTGACTGCGCTGACCAACGAGTGCTTGAAATTTGCGAGCGAAATTCAGAATATATGGAACAGGTACAGATAGTACACCTGTACTGGTGGACGGGAAGGACCGTTCACCAAAAGGTAAGTATAGCAGGAGGGAGATTTGTGCGGGTAATTCCATTTTCCTAAATTACTAGTGAATTTACCCTTTAGGGTTAGTGCAGACTTGGGGATTCCTGGGACGTGCGATCGTGTGTGGTTGCATCCAGCGGTTGCATCCGCATGTATGGGGTTACATCTGCGTGACAATCGCTGAAAAAAGGTAGATGTACCTATTTTCACGACATGCACCGCGCAGTGTTTTCAACTATGATTGTGTGTGATCGCCCGGGCGGTATTGCAGCAGGTAAACGCGCAATCTGCTTGGCATGACTGGGGTGACATTAGAAAATAATGGCACTGACAGCACGATCGGCGGTGGTGTGCGATTCCGTGACCACCCAGCCATCCGCTCGATTTTGTGCACGATGACCGGGCAGTCAAGGATCGCACACCACCTTTTCTTTTTAACTATTTTTTTTAAACTTAACTGTATTGCTATCACACAGGGGTTAACAATCCCCTGTGTGATAGCATTTGGAGGTGACAGGTACTCTTTATTGAACCTGTCACCTCTAGCAGGCACTGTTGCTAGAACTCCTGTGAGTCTGACAGGAACGTGCAGCGGCCGCAGAGGACAGAGGCTATGGGAGGTGAAAGAGCCTGTCACTACTCCACGCCCCTGCTCTGTCCCCGCTGTCAGCGCTCCACGTTCCGTCCCCGCCCATCCGCTCTCGGCGCTCCACGTCCCCCGCTCGCAGCGCCGCTCTCGGTGCTCATTTTAGGAAAACCCGATACTTGTCCGTAGCAGGGCTAAAACAGCGAAAAAAGCACTTGCCCGGCGCCCGGAACTACATGTCCCGGGCGTCGGCCGATACGAATTCCACACCCATGGATATGGATTCATTACTAGAAAAAAGTTTGAGAGTTTAATACTACGTTAAATGACTTTAAATGTGGCACGGTTGTTGTGGTGCCAGTCAGGTTGGTCTGGGTATTTCAGAAACGTTTGATCTACTGGGATTTTCATGTACAACCATCTCTAGGTTTTACAGAGAATGGTCTGTTCTCTGGGCAAAAATGCCTCATTGATGCCAGGGGTCAAAGGAGAATGGCGAGACTGGTTAAAGCTAATAGAAAGGCAACAGTAACTCAAACACTTGTTATAACCAAGGTATGCAGAAGAGCATCTCTGAACGCACAACACATTGAACCTTAAAGCAAATCGGCTACAGCAGCAGAAGACCACACTGGGTGCCACTCCTATCAGCTAAGCATAGGAACCTAATGCTACAATTCACACAGGCTCACCAAAATAAAAAAATAGTAGATTGGAAAAATGTTGCCTGGTCTGAAGAGTCTCTATTTCTGCTGCAACATTCAGATAGTCAGGTCAGAATTTGACATAAACAACATGAAAGCATGGATCCATCCTGCCTTGTATCAACGGTTCAGGCTGGTGGTGGTGTAATGTTTTGGGGGATATTTTCTTGCAACACTTTGGGCCCCTTAGTACCAATTGAGCATTATTTAAATGTCACAGCCTACCTGATTATTGTTGCTGACCATGTCCATCCCTTTATAACCACAGTGTACCCAACTTCTGATGGCTACTTCCAGCAGGATAACACACCATGTCACAAAGCTAAAACCATCTGAAACTGGTTTCTTGAACATGACAATGAGTTCACTTTACTCCAGACAAGATGGGGTCCAACCCCTATTCCAACCCCATATTTCAACAGATGACTGTAAATGTTCTAGCGGAGTTCGTCTCTAAAGGTGGCCATACACTTTACAACCCTCGCAAGACTTTTGTCTTGCGAGGGTTGTAAAGTAATTTAAAAAACTTACGATCTGCCCATCTTGGACAGGCAGATCGTACTTGCGATTATCGCAAGCTCGCCCCCCTGAGGGATTACGGTCGCACGCCTTCCATACACTTTGCGATTATTGTACGATTGTATGGGCACCTTAATAATAGCATGAATAACAGTGTATGGGCACCTTAATAATAGCATGAAAAATGATGACAAATGTCATTTTGTAGCAGAGCGCAGCAAAACTGATGTAAACATTCTTCTTCTGTATGGTGTGCAAAATTTTAAAACACAGATATAAATGATCCCAGTGGCCCTTTCTTGCAAAGTAGCTTTTTCTGTTAGGTGTCATGGCCCTTTTAATTATGGAATGTCACACAGACGCTCTCCAGCCATACTTCCTTGTCCCCTCCTTTAACTGACAGACTCTGAACATTTCACACTCACCAACTCTAAGGCAACCTCAACGGTTTTCCTCTTCACACTCACCAACAACCCTTTCTAATGCCAGAAAACCCCTAAATTCCCTTTAAAAAAGTTTGATACAAAATCTTTGGCACAGTGGGGGATAATTAATAAAAAGTGTCTGGAACTAAACTTTGTCTCAGCTGGAAAGCAGCCAATCAGCTTTTACATTTTCATTTTCTAAACTGTGTGGGAAAAAATGAAAGATATAAGCTGATAGGTTGCTATGGGCAACCACAACTGTTGAAATAGAACTTAACTTTATATTAGTTCCCCCCAATTTGTCTAGTTTACTGGAAGTTAATTCAAAGCAGCAATCAATCCAATTCCATCTTTGCTGAACCAACACCAGAAAATCAAAGAATCTGATTAGCTGCTAACAGCTCTACTCATCCCTGCCCGATATGTTTGTAAAGAATTATTACCACTCTTGGACGGTCTGCTGCGACTCCGCGACCGACTGTGTTGCCTCTGAAGCTGCGATCTCCCCAATAATCGGTAGTAATAGGAGCGTCGTCCTGAATTTTTCCTACTCACAGACATGGTGATCTTGCCAAGAGTCCGTAGAGAGGAATTCCTTATCCCAAATTATTCCACCTTATACTCAGCACTGCGGACAGTTCAGCCACGTCTGGGGCTCCAACAGCTCTGAAGAGTCGCCTATAATAAGCTATGTTTTACAGGAAAGGAAAAGTTGGGGAAAGTTTTGGGAAATTTTGGGGCCGGAGGTGCCTGTCCTGGACCTAGCTGTGTCCACAGAACAACGGTCCAGCCAAGCAGCTGCATGTCAGAAGTGCAGCACGAAGCCCTACAAGGTCTTCTGAACAGAATTGTAGGTAGAAGTCCTGTTGACAGGGAAAGAGAAGAATGTAATGTGAGAGGGCTGGAGAGAAGCTACTCACACCCCACAGCGAGACCTCCCCTCTTACACTCTACACAGCAAAGAAAAGCAAACCGCACAGATTGCTTATCACACTTCCAAGTTAAATCCGTACAGCGATCAGATGTGGACATCCAATTGATGGCCATGCATCCAACTCTTAAGAGGCAGACGTCAGGAGGGCAGCAGGGATGTGCGAGATAAAATCAGAATAATGATCCCCTTTCCTTTTACATCAAGAGAGCAACACAATCCTTGTAAAGGTGACAGTTCTCTAATGTATATGGGTACAATCAAGTCTTCAGGGTTTTTAGTCACTGTCATCAGTAACCAAACAGTGTATGTGGTTGTAGCAATAGAAACAAAATGCCTCAACTAATATACATTAATAGGGGCTCCACAGAGAGGGGTCCATGGGCTTATTCACCCCTTACAGCATCATCCCCAGATGGTTACAACCAGAGACTATATTATTCACATGAAATTGTACATGTATTTGCATGATATATGTATGTTTTGCTTAGCTTAAACCAGCCATAATTGCACTCTGTATTTAACAATGAAGGACGTGAGTTTTCTTTGGTATGGTTTATTGTATGTATGTATGTTATTTATTTATCAACAAAATCCAGTAAAAAAAAAAAAGAAAAAAAGATTGTTATTATTTGCCCTATACATAAAGCCAAACAGCTCAGTGGGAAATTTTTAGCCGATGTGGTGAGAGACTGTCTGCACCGGTCAAGCGACAAAGTTTGCTTCATTTGCTGAAATTTGTGCGCTGTCTGTTCAGCAGCCAATCAGATGCAACCCTGCACTGGAAAATGAAGTTTGAAGGAAATTTTTTTTTTTTTAAGAGACATGACCAGCAGAAAGCAAATCACAGACACTTTCAAGCAATTCTTCCCCTGTAGCGACAAGATGTGTCATAGAAGAGCGTCATTTGATCGTTATCAATACAGACAGTCCTAGAAAATGCAGCTCAGACAGCAATATCTAACAGCAGGACACAGAAAAAAATGGGGGAGCAATATGATATTAATCAGGAGAAATATATTATACAGCTGTGAGGCCCAGCCGCATTTACAATTACTGTATATTCAGCAAAGCGACGTGAGGAGAATTTTCTGAATTTGGTCACAATGGAGCAGAGTGAAGTGTCAGTGCGTTGTGTATACATCATCCTCTTCTTCACATATACAGAGTATTTCAACCCCCCATGCCAGAGCCCCCTGAAGTGAGGACCCTCATTAGCTGTCTCGGGGGCTCCAAACATGCAACACTCCTGAAACAAACATGTGCGCTCATTATTTACTGCTCCAGCCACATGCTGCAGACATGCCAGGGCAGCAAATGGTCAATGAGTGATCAAAGCACCCATGAGGGGCCACAGTCTCGGAGAGGCCTACAATCTGCAACCATTTACTGACAAAACATTTTCTTGTAAAGAAAGTTTTCACTGCCATCCAGGAGAGAGTTAATCTCTCTGCATTGCTCAGCTCTGCTGGAGCCCACTGAATTCAATGTTCAGTTCAAATTCTCCTGTGATGATTTACCCAACAATCAGCTGAGACTGAATAGATGGCCTTAAGGCTGGGTTCACACCTGGGCGTACGGAATATGTGCGTTTGCCGTGCGTTTCTTACCGCGCGTTTATGAAGGCTATCCGGCTGTATCCTAAATAGTTGACAACTTTTTCAATAATCGATTATAATCGATTATGTCGATTAGTTGTTGCAGCCCTAGAGTGAACCAGGCCTTAGGAGGAGGTACAGGGGGTGTTCTAGGACGAGGCTGAATCACTTTGACCCCACAATCTTGCGATAGAAGGGATTTATCCTCATTGTAGTATTTATGGGAGCCCATATATTGGAAGGGTTTGTTGCAAATTGCTCATGTGAGATCAGCCCTATGTCGGACATACATAGATATTTTATTTTACTTTTTAATCCAATTGACTATTCAGTCCTATGACAAGTTGAAAGCAGTTGTTTAACATACTACCAACTGTAAATTTTCCTGTACCAATCTGATCGTTTTCAATGACACCAAAGGCCATTAGGTCCGCCAGCTTTTTTTTTTGGCACCTAGCCAGAAATTTCTTTAAGACTTTAGGGTGAATGCTAGCAATGAATCAGACTGTTACGTGTATGGCCAGCAATAGGATGGTAAGGGAACGATAGAAAGTGAGGTTTTTCTGGAGTGCAAACCACTGCAGCACAGTGTGTGAACTGCACATACAAGACACAAGGCAAACTGTGTTAGAACTGCTTTGGGGCGAGGTGTGAATGGGCCATTTTATCTTGTGACTATCTAGTGTATATGGTCACCCTTACATAACATATTCCAGATTGCTATATGGTGACAATTACTGCAGGTTGGGCAATTCGCACCAACAGAGCTTTCAGTCTACATTGGTTTAATAGAGGCTTTTTGGTCCCTAGCCCACCTCACCATAACCTTTGTGGTTAAACTTCACAATAAAAAGTAAAAAAATGTTTGCCCACTCACGGATTATATTACAGAAATTCTACAAAAACATGATGATATTTTATTGTGGCCTCTGAAATGAAATACAGACAGGACTGACTGGCGGGGCCTGCTGAGAACTGAATCCAGCTTCAAAGTGGTAAGAGGTGTCAGGATTTGTGTGGAAGACGTTTCCTGTGTTGTATGCGGAGAGACAATGGGATGTAAAACGACTCAGCCCGACCCTCACATGTTCTACATCTGTTTTAACAAGCCAAGGAGGGGACTACAATATAGCCAGGGTTAGGATTTCACACACAGTTTCTAGACCGATCAGGCCAAAGTGACAGGGCAGGTGCACAGATGGACAGCATAACATGATTACAGAAGACACTGACCCACATGTTGTGATGTGAACTTGGTAATGCATTCTCTGCACGAGGAATGGCGCAGCACATACTGGCCTAAGAGTGGCGGCGCTCATAGATTGCAACCTGACCAATATTTCACACACAATAGACTGCAAGAAAAAAAGCCACAGTGAGTTATTCGGAGAAAACCATTTCCTGAGAAAGACACATATTTCCTTTCCCAAATGAACAATATCAGTGGGAACGGTTTCTCCAGCTACAGCATTCAGAGACAGTGGTTGTTTATGTCTGTTTGCTGGTGGCCAGCGGGTGTTATGTGGCTGTATAAGGAACATTCAATACAAACTATATAAAACACAAAGACGACAGAACAGTGTGTGACAGAGAGGAGAGCAAAAGAAAAAAAACTGTTATCTTGTATGGCCAGTCATATGTTTGGAAATGTTCTGCCAGTCACTGTAGTTATACATCAGTTTCTGTCTTGCTGCTGCAGAATTTTAAGCAATATGCACCATCCAATGTCAAGGGGAAAACAAACAATTATGGATACATCATACAACACAATGATCATCAAGAAATCTAAGCTCAGCAAGTCCAGCTATTCTCAGATACATGTGGAATTGCAATAATCAGAAAAGAAATGACAAATCCACAGAATTACAGTTGGATCAGATCCCCTCCTAAACGCACAGAAAATAAGATTCTAACATACAGATAAAAACAAATTGCACAGAAAAATGTAGGGTGCTGCAGATGGGGCTGTCAGAGATCAGTGTGGGAGACCCTAACATACCAGACAGGATGACACACAATGTATTGTTCAATCTCATATACATATATAAGAGAAGAACTTGTGGATCTGCACCAAAACAATCCAACATTGACAATGGGTTCGCAGGGAGCCAGGCGGACTCTGAAGAGGAAATCTAATTGCTACAATTATATGAGAATTACTGACTGCAATAATCTTCCGTGAGACCCCCAGAGCACAGATCTGTTATATTACACACAATATAACTCCGCATATCTAATGGTAACAGTTACACAACTAGCCGCACCTAATGCGGTCACCAGAGGGGAGGGGGGTGAAGGAAGGAAAGGGCAGACGGGAATGGGGGGAGGCAGAGAGAGAGAGAGAGAGAGGGATAGGGGGGCATAGCTGAAGAGAATTGGGGTGAAGAGAGGAGATGACTGGGAATTCCATTCATTTAAAAAAAGATGTATTCCATAGCATATGTAAGTTGCATACATTCATACTGGTCTGTGTTCTGCATTGTTATGGTTCAGTTCTGTCTTATTTTTTACAGTGCTGGTGGTACTCAGACTGATGCTGCTTTCTTTTTAACTATAGGAAGTGTTGTACGTCTAGATAACGGGTCTGGATGGAAATTCCTGAAGATAAGGGGAGACGGACCTCTATCTTTAACTCAGGCCAAGCCATGTTTACCCTCCTTACAATACCACCAGGTTCATTGAAGCGTCTGTAACGGAGAGCAGAAAACCAAGCCAATCCATAAAAGTTGAGATAAAAGTAGTAATTATAAGAAATGATTTGTGTGAAACAACAACCGTTCCGTACCAAGGCAATATTTATATGTTTGCAAATTGAATGCTGTGATAAATCATTGGGAGATGAAATCATGAACATGGTGACAATAATTCACACAGCTTGGTGAATAGGTTTTAATCTTCTTCATTCATCACAAACTCCGGTTGACAGCTTCCAGAAGAATCCCATGAAACTCTCTGGCTCCAATCTGGCTGCTAGCGATCTGAAGGGGCCGAACACCACAAACAACAAATGGAGCCCTACATATGACGGACGTACTGATGGCTGTTAAACACAAATCTGGCTGCGATTTCCAGATCTGCAGGAAGCAGCGCAGAGAGATGAAAGGTCTGAATAAAAAGATCAGCAGTGGTAGGCCACCCAGGGGCTTAAGTATACTCCTT